GATCGTCGAACAACTTCAGATTAAAAGCTTCCCACCTTGAAATATGGATTCGAGTTTTGTCGACTGGAAACTGCAAAAATCCAATGAAATGGAAGTGGTCTGCATAGGACTACGCGTACCGAATGGCACAAAGCAAAATTTTATTTTGCATTGGGCCGCTGGTTAATAGCCCGGGCAAGCGGTAATTTTTTATCAATAAGTGTTACCAACAAAAAGGCGAAGCACTAAAATGGCCTTCACTGGCTTATTTGTCGTTATCAACCCTGCCTTTTTCTAAAGTAACATTTTTCAATCACTGATTGTTCGAGGCTCTGCGACCGTTTGTTTGGGCTCCGTCTCAAGAAAGAGGAGAACGCCCACTTCCGTGTCGCAGTCAAGATAGACCGCTAAATGCTACCCCCTCACTCAAGACACAGGTGTGAGCACGAAAACGTATTACCAAAAAAGGCGTTTGTGAGTACCTACCATGAGACAGTGCGATGAACAATCAGCATACCGACACAGGTGATAGTGAAGAAAAAACAGCTGCCTAGAAGACTAGCCAATGCAATTTCGATAGTAGTCCAAAGATGACTGGTCCAGTTGAGAAGGCCTGAAAGTGGTTTGCCCAGGGCAGCCAGCGACTCCTTACGACCGAATGAGGCAATCTGGGCCCAGAGTTGTTCACCGATTGCTTTTTCGATGGTCCAGACGTCTAAATCATCTTCTGTTACATCACGTGGCTGGGGTCCGCTTTCCCGCTCGGGTTCCCTTGGATAGGTAGGCCTGCCAGAAATGGGGGTGAGAAGGAATGTATGTGCTGGAAGACCATATTACAACAGTATTAACAAAAAAAATCGTTACTTCAAGCCCAGTCAAGCATTCAGTCAGGTAGCTATTCCCTTAACACCACCTGCAAACCACACTGATCGGATAATCTAACGTGTGTATCATCAGCGCCCACGAGTAGGACTTCGTTAGTTTCTTGACAAACAGGTCTCTGCTGCGAAAGAACACGTATGAACCCATGGACAAACTGTAAAAACCGCATCTGTTCGGTCTCCTAGAGCAAATGAACTCAAACCTAGGTTAAACGGACGAAGAGACGACCACCTTGAGAGCAAAAATCAACTGCTGAGGCTGACACAGCCAGCATTTTTGGTCTGTCCATGCCTCCATCGACGTAATTTTTAAAAAAAACTCCAATCTACAAAGCCATCAAAAATAAGTCGGTGCACGATCGGGCGCCAACGAGTCTAGTATTCCTCTCTCTAAAATAACATCACACCAATGGAAAAGTTCGCATAACCAGGGCGTATAATACTAAGAAAGAGCAATATCGGCAACGCAGGTGTCTATTTGGGTCTCAAAAACCACCCAGGTTTTCAGTCAGTAGTACCTAGGACTCATTTTGAAATCGCCGCGGTCTTGACCTCAAGCAGAAACTGAAGATTGTCGAGCCACCAAACTGTGAAACTGCCTATATTGGATAGAGACGTAGACAACGTACGACAGTCAAGCAAGGAGATTCAAATATTTCTATCTCAGCTGCTCCATGGAATACTAAATTTGAGGTGGTAGCAAAGGTTTACTGACGCAAAATTCAAGCATAGAGCTTGCATCTTCAGTACTAGTGCGACATCCGCAGGCCGCTGAGGATCGGTATCGTCATCGGCCAGACTCCACCGTTCGATATATGGGACCCAAAGTACCCTTATTGTGAGGTGAAACGACAAACGTTATCTACCTGGTCTAGAGTTACTCTTGTGAAGATAAATAATAACGGAGAAACCGGCAAAAGATCTGTAGTAACGAATACAT